GTGTGTGTGCGTGCGCGCGCGTGTGTGCGTGCGCGCGTGCGTGCGTGCGTGCGTGCGTGCGTGCGTGCGCGCGCGTGCGTGTGCATTAAACAGGCTGTGCGTCGGGTTGCATCAGAGGAATGTGTGTTGTAGGCGATATCCGCCTGCAAGGTTCACCTTCAGTTCACTCTATACTCTGTGAGCCTCCAGCATATTGTATTTTTAATCTTCTTTTGTACTGCGGTGTTTACGATATTGTTGGGGACTAAATTAAGTTTCCTTGTGTAGCATCTGATAATGTTAGTACCTTCCTTCCATGACATTACATGTCATTTTTTAAACATTTTTTCCTGTGCAGTATGAAAACAGACCTGTAGCTAGTTAAGCGCTTTGAGCACCAGGAAAAACGCTATATAAATAACATGTATTATTATTATTATAAGTTGAAGTCTTATACTTAAGGCCAATATGAACTGTTGCTCTCACGTCTGAAATGCTACTTTTTGATGTTCCACAGTGATGGGACAATGAGGACAGCTATTTTCATTTTCCTGGTGAAACTCCTTCTTACCTGCTGCATTGTCTGTGTTTTTTACTTACCCCCACCAATGTGGACTCTGCTTTGAAATTGATGGATACATGGTTTGCTATCAGAGATGAAGTAGTGCCACTTAAATCAGGATCAGGTTCTGAACGATGACACTATTGCTAGTATTGCTGGAAATCCCTTCACCTTCACACCAAAAGTTTACACAGCTGATTTCAAACACACACCAGGATGTGTTGCAATCTTTGTATTTCTAAACATTTCATTTTCTGTACCTTGTTTGTTAATTTCTTGTACGAAGTTGCTAGTTTCAATCATTATTTTTTAATGACATCTCGCTTTTCACCCCACCTTCAAAAGTGCTGTTAAAAATCACACTCAACTTGGCTTTTGGCGTGTCATCTTCCGTTGTTCAGAGACTACATTTAGGCCTTAACAGTTGCACCGGTGAAGATGCGTAAGAGAAGACAAGTTTACACCTCCTCTCTTCACCTCTCCTTTCTTTCATTAGCACCTCATGTGTTTGTTTTTATCCCCCGACTATTCTCTCTGCCTCAGAGGTGTCATCGTGCTGCAAACAAAAAGCTATTAGTATGCACAGGCATTGATGGCTGAGCATCTCACACACTCGCACACACACAGATTGTAACATCTGCTTTAAGCTGTTGAGTTTCAGAAGCTTCCTAGGTGGGTGAGAATAACACAACTTTTTTCCCGTTTGAGTTTAAAAACTGTCAGTTAATTTGCTTTAAGTCCGAAATATTAAAAGCTTTCTTTATTCTGCTGTCTCCATTTGAAAAGGGATGGATACAAACAATAGAGGGTACATTTTTGATTCAGTCCAGTTTAGTAGAAAGTCCCATGTGGGGAAATTTAAATGACAAAATTAGAAATAACAAGTCAATAAGTCAAGATTAAATAAATACTGATACCTATTTACCTAAATAGTAAAGCACGACAAATATTTGGACTTTGCATGTCTGTGAATCAGTCAAATTCACCTTAATCCCCCTAACCTCCCTTCTGCTTCACTAAATCCAAGAGTTTATTAACCCCGGAGGCGATGTCATATTCATCTCGCTGTGGGAAATAGGTTAGGCTCCTCATGCGTCATACCGCCTTGATCCTTTTAACTTGTTTCTCACTATATACAAACCCAGGAGAAACAGTTCCTTTACTCCCGAAGACGTACAATAAAAGTTGTTTAGCCAGAGTAGGAAGACACCACCATTCGGTCCAGCGTGATTTCCCCATGATCAAAACTTCCCCGAATGCAAAGGAGGAACAGCTTCATATCAGGTTTGCTTGGATTGATTTGAAATGAAGCTACACATTATTATATAAAGATGTTTCCATCCTTTAACAACTGTATAGGGTATCATTATATAAGAGATGTATAAGTTTGAGCTTAAATGTGTGATAAGAGGCGATGTGCCCATTTAGTCAATCCTAATGTCCCTGTTCTCTCACACCTCCTCTTTCCTTTCACAACCTAGCCAGATTGTTGTATAGGCAGTTACGTAACACATCAGGTTGTCTTATATAAGTAAATATCACTGTCATGCTTAGCTTGCTTAGACCCCATTTACACGGGAACGCAAACGAAACGAATTCGATATCAAAAAAGTCTTCCGTTCACACGGAGACGGCTCAATAAACGTGTCCCCTCGCACGAGACCGCTCGACCCGCCGGAGACGCTGTAGTACATATGCCGGGCCTGTAATTGGCGCTGTACTTCCGCCACAAAATACACCAAAAGTAGCAAAGAAGACCCCCGAGCATGGTTGCCATGGTTGCCTGGTTGCCCTTCTGTTTATTCTCCGCGGTGGATTTAGCAACATGTAGTTCATGTAGTTCTCCATGTCCACTTGTTGCTCATGGTTGTGGTAGAGGAGCTGTAGATGTTGCACTAACATCTGTAGCATGGTCAGTAG